TTGTCTCAGTCTGTACAACCAATAACTTTTCATTCTCGAGTGTTGGTTTCAACTGCCACCCCGACCCCCTCCCGGACTGCCCGATTGATCACCTAAGGCAGGAACAAAAAGCTGACCGCAGTAGCAGCATACGAAAGAGTAACATGTGGCGACGACAATGGCATGTGTAAGCTGTGCCTGAGCCACAGCAATCGGTGGATACCGAGCACTTTTATGAGGGCGTGGTGGACATTAATTCTTCTAACCGAAGTACTACCTACAAAGGTTTCCCCCAAAAAGACCGTTTTTCTTACGCCCATAAATACTCTAATCACAAAAATTGTGATTTCATATGTGGGAATTTTGCACTCATGATACGTAATGACCCCCAATCATCCGTTCATCTACTTATCATCCCTAACCCGATCCGATTATCACTGCTTATCCTTCCGCATAAACAATTACCGTAATTCAACAGTACTCCGTTTGGCTCACATTCTAACTGCCAAGAAAATCCTGAATGAACTAATTTGAAATCTACAAAGGTGATCTTTCGTCCAAGTTGTACCATTGTTGAGTAGAATTCTTTTCCTTTTTTACCCCATTGTAACGGTGGACACATTTTTTGAATAAAATGTAACCGGAGTAGCTTGCACAATTCATTACAATACACGTGTGTGTACCAGAAACGGACTGGGGATCGGAGCGAAAATGCTCGAGAGGGATTTTGCGAACAGATGAGCAAACAAGGTACAAGTTCAGTTCAGTATGTACAACTAATAACCATGCATATTCGTGCACCGGTTTTGGTTGCTATCTTTTGGCTGCCCATTCGGATGAACATTAGGAGAAAGACAGGAAAGGTTGAAAGTGGAGTCGAACAGAAAATGGAGAATCGCAGTGGTCTAAGGTTGGAAACAAACTGAGAAGATGCACGAACGCCACTGTTTACGACTCCCAGCCATATCACTCGTGTGGAAGCTTCTAGAGACCTGTCACGCAAGGCCTTTGAATTTCGATTAAGTTTTGCTCGCTGGTGCGTTGATTATCGGTCCGCTGTTCGGGATCGACCCTTATCCTCGTGCACCCAATGAGACAAGCGGAACATGGACGAGACAGCACCTTATTGGCTGGGGACTGCCCAGCTTGGGCGGGCGGTAGCTGTCCAATGAAGTGCGAAGACTTCTCTCACCATCGAGAGGAAGACCCAGGTACCCCGCTTCTACACCCATCTAGCGGGGTTTTTTGACCAGTAGACTGCCCCTCACCGCGTTTATTTGCTGGAGTGACCTCTCCAGGGGCGGGTGTGGATAGACGAAGGAAGCCAGGTGCCCAAACAGCTGGCTTTGTGGGACTGAGCTTTGTCTGGCCCCCACCCGTTGACCTTTCAAGTATGATTAGATCTACGCCTGTGAAAAGCCATCCTGTGTAGCTCGCAGGGTCACGGAGGCACGCAAGCCATCACACCGCGTCAAGGTGCAGTCCTGTCGTGATGGGTCCCTCTTATATATTGTCACTAACTTGTATGTAATGTGAGTTTGGCAGCGCTCAGTGAAGTTCGCTTGTGTGTATCGCTCTTTGCGATCATGCTGTTGAAGGATTGGTGTGTGAGGGTTCCTTGATTACCAACTGCGGTAAAATCACGTATCACAAGCGACCGACCTGTCGTGGAATACAATGGAATTACATTATGATTAGCGATGGAACACTGTTTCAGCTGTAGATAATAAATGGAAAGATGAGAGTTTGTAGAGCGGGAGGGTCACGCTTGCACAATGAATGTATAGATGTTGCAAGGTTGCGGGAGTCCTGTTTCGGTGTGAGGAGTAATTGGGTCTAACAGGAAGAGTCAAGGTATCGATGACCGATTCTAGGTACCTGAATTGAATACTACTCCTGGAACATAGATAAACCTTCGTCGTCCTTTAGGATAGCATGCACAGCACATCGTTTTCAACAAACCCAGCTACACAAGCTGTATCCTGGCTTTTAATGAAAGTCTTTTTACTTCCTTTTTCTATTTATTGAATAAACAAATATACAGTCAACTTCCAGGAAGGGGTCTGCGGCCATTCAGAGGCGGCCTGGGAAACTACAGATATAAGGAAGACTGGCGGCGGTAGAGCGATTTGAACCCGGGTCCTTGGTCACTAGTTGTTGACCACTTGGTCACCACCGCCCGGTACCATGACCCCGGGTTCGCTAGATGTTTATTACATTGGTCACCTCTGGGACCATCTCAAAAGAAGTCGACAAATTCGCAAACCCAAAACTTGCAGAAACGAGGAGTTTAGTTGCACGTGGTTGTGGTCAAATTGCTCTAGGTTACATTGACAATGCTCCACAATTTGGTGTCAGGCAGCTTTGTTGTCATTCGGTTCAATACCACACCTATCCCAGAGGGGCCTTATGTGGTTTGCCACTCCAAGTCCCGGGGTTTAGGTTACCGGTTTCCATGACTGCACAGCAGGTCCTCGTGACTTTTTCTCTTCCGTTTTTACTTTTATTGAATACAATGACTGTGGGGCTTTCCCCGTCTGTTGTTTATCACACTAAGTTGTCTAACAAAAAAATCGACTGAATACCGACGAAGACGGTTATAAGAAATACCACATTTATCAGGAATCGATTTGTGTGTTGTTCAATTTTTAATGGGTTTTGTGGATACTTTTGGTTGACCTTTTTATCCATGCTCGCTGTTCTGGGTGATTCGATAGATTTTGGCATAGTTCGTCTCGCAGCTTCTGGAGGAAAACATGTTTCAATAATATTGAGACCTTTCCCGAACAATCTAATGATGATCTCTCTTCATCACTTGGCTCGTATTGTTCCAGCACGCAAGATGCATTGCCTCACTCTTTCAAATTATTCGCTCCATATGTATCTTCGCGTGCCCTTAGATGGGACACACCACTAGACGAGTTAACAAACGTATGGTTCAGCATTGCCTTGTGGTTCTCTCTACACCGGAATTGTAAGATGCTTTCACGCTCCTATCCTTGGACATCTTGTTTGTATAGCAGACGCGGTGCGAACAAATTAACTTATACTATGAAATTAAAGTACTCTAAACGAACTAGAAGGCGGTTTCTAACCAAAACCGAGTCGATCCCGATTCGCCTATCAGATCTATGGCTATGTGAGCAAAACGTTAATCAAGATTCTCGCGTTACCACGAGGTGAACTATTTTCAAATTGGGCATAAAACCGTGCCTGGAAATTTTCGCTCCCGTTACCGTGTATTACTCACTCAGTGCTCAAGTGTTACACGCACTTAGTTGCATTACTGTTTTCTGGAAATATCACATCTCATCCATCACAAATTTGCAATATTGTTTCTTTCTTATCAACTCACAACTATGATCGCAGTGAATCAGTACACCCTTTTCTCCACTACTACTTTGACCTGGGATCTTTTTCAGCTGTTGCCTCCTGTCCCCGATTTTTCTGCAAATTGTACTGCTACGTCTGTCACTGTCCTACACTTGGTTTTATTTCGCCAACTGTTTTTCTATACAGTCCTCCTGATACAATGTAGTGTGAAACGTGGCTTCAATAGCACCGTTCCCAAGTCTGAAATGAGACCCAATTCCACCACTTATTTTTAGGTGGTTAGAAAAGACGAAAGTTGTTTGTCTGTTGTTGGGACTAGAGAACCGAGAAACAAAGAAGAACGGAGATAGACGAAGGAAGAAACAGGACCGCTGAGGTTACATGCTTTAGGTTTAGGTCAAAGGGTCATGGGGGATTGGTGTTCTGTGTTGGGTCTGGACCGGGGTAGCTGGAGGGCTGTCAGACTTTTGGAAAACTTGGAGTTGGTCTCATTAGCTTGCTACCGTTGATGCTGTTGCAAGGTGACCTTCTCAGAAGGTGTCATATGAGTTTGGGGCACCTTGGTCTTGTTGTCATTTCTTATCTGGCCAGGATGCACAGTTAGATTGTTTAAGCTATGTGTTGACCAAAGAGGCTCGCTGGCTACCCCCTTGAAAATTTTTCTATCCCTGTCCACCGTACATATTATCACTAATTTCGTATGCATTGCGAGTTTGGCGGTGGTCAGTGAAATTCGCTGTGCGATGATGATAAGCACCTCATAGACGATTGTGAACGCATCTTCATTCATCTGGTGTACCCGGAATCCACAAGATTTGTTGTAGTATTTTTGTGTTTAAGGTCCTGTCAACCAACTCCACACCCTTACACACCAACATGCAGCAATATAGTGAGAAATTCGGGATACAAAATTGTCCGTAACTATCTAGCTAGGAAAACTTCTGCCCTATTTCCAAACGAAGAGAACTTACAATGGGCTGGGCCAACCGGGAGCACCGTAATTTATCTTCATCTGTAATCGAACATCAGTTTTGCAATTGCTTAATGTCTGCATTTGAGTTACACGAACCCACTGACCTAATCACGTGGGCTATTGTCTTCCTTTGACGTGCATCAATCTCCACATGCAGTTCACGGGATCTCCACCGATATGGTTATGTATAGGAATCGCTTGACGAATCGCTTTTGACGATTTTTTCATTTTTCGGCTGATTGACACATGCAACACTTTGTTTTCAATTTCTCTCTCTCTCATGTCAAAACCTGCTAGTTTTTTCAAAGAGAATGGGTTTTCTTTGCTCGATGAAATCTTGTACTCCTGGAGCTCCAGATTCTGCTTTTTATCCAATGTTCCCCGTGTTTCACGAGTGACACGCCCAGCATATCATGGATATGCATTGTATCATTCGATGTGACGACCCTGTTGGAGATGAAACTTTCATATTGTCGTGAGCGATCAATTTATCCTGTAATAATATTTCAATCTCTCTTCGATACAGTTACGCAAACGTCTCGAGGATGAATTGGGCCAACAATTGCGTGATTACCGGCATTTTATCGAAGAAGAGGTGCTCACAATCTACGGTCGTATGGACGAAGCGAGTGAGATTTTCGATCATCTGTTGCTTGGCACTACGTTCAATGCATCCAATCGCGATGAGTTAGAACGGCGTTCTGTCACGCACATTCTCAATGTGACTCGCGAGGGGGACAATTTTTTCCCGGGGGATAAGTTTGAGTATAAGAATATTCGGGTTTTTGACGATGAACAGTCCTCTCTACTACCCTACTTTGAAGACATTCACCGGTTTATCAATGAGGCCAAGTGAGTTTTTCATTCTTTGTGCGGTCGTGTACAACAGTCAAAGAGTCGTGTGGTACGGTGACTTGACTCCGATGAACATTCATTTGGATAGCACGTAATACTTCGATCCCGCCACAGTCGTTTGGTCCCTTGGTTTATTTTAGTCAGTTCACAGCACATTGTGGCTGCTTTTCAAATACCTCCGTGGATCAAATTTCTCCAGTCGCTGGGATAAGGTGTTCATCATTTGCTCCGAGACCCACCAAATCAATCTGGAACTCGTGATACCCCTTTCTGAGTTCTAAAAAGGGTTGTCCGCTCTTGGGACCGTCTGTCCGAGCAGGAGTGTAATCATTATTTTTTTCATGGCTGGATGACGTTCATTTTTCACCGCGTTCGTATGTCTCTTGAACTTGTGGGAATTAACGGACCGTGTTATCTGCAGTTCT